AGTGAAATTTAATTACCAATATTGACATGAGGATTATATTATTCCTCAATTGTAATTAGCAAACTTGTTATTTATTCTGAAAAAATAAAATGTGGAGATTGTGAAAAAATGTTAATTAAATCCTTGCCAGTGGAATTTATTAATAATAATTCACGGAAAATGTTTGAATTTGATTTTGCAAATATCTTCGGAAGTTATTCAGCACAAATTTCCAGTAATATCTGCTTATTTGAATAATTAAAATCAATTGCTACTCTATCATAAGGATTACGGTAAATCATCTTAATAATTCAGGCAATCAAATTTAGAAGTATTATAAAAATTCTCATCTTTATTCGTAAATTAAAAAAAAGATAATTTCATCGTATTTTTAGCATATCATTATTGCTGCGTATATAATTAATGTTCTCGATAAAAATTTGAATTACCATAAGCATTAATCATCAGTCGATTTAATGACATTTTCTAAACGTTATAGACATAATAGAGAATAACAATATGGTAATAAATTAAACAATAATAAATAATAATAAACTAAACAATAACAATAAATTAAATAATAATAACAAACAATAATAATAATTGGTAACAATAAACAAAAATAATAATTTATAATAATAATAAATGATAATGATAAAATAATAATGACGGTAGTAATGGTAACAATGATAATAATAATGGTGATAACAATAAGGAAATAATAAAAAAACAATAACCATCGATTTCATTATTGTTATGGATAGTAATACGAAAGATTCATCAATATTATTATAATTTATTTTAATGCTGATAAATTGTACGGATGATTCCAAACCATTATTCGAAAATTAAGTTTAGAGAAAAACAAAAGAAAAGAAAGATTGAGAGATAAGACAGAAACTGACAGGTTATATCTTCAACTTTCATCTTTCAATGTATCGCCAAGAAAGCTCATTAAAATAATGGTATCGTACGTTTGAAAGACAAATACTATTGGTAAAGAATAATTTGAAATCGAAAAGCATACTCGAAAGAAAATTGCTTTCTTGTGAGAAGAAAGGAAGAAAAACAAAAAAGAAAAATTAAGAGAAATACGCTTCATAGATTAGCGGCAGATAGCCATGCATGCAAGCAATTATCATTTTAAAAAGAATACAAATAACATTGTTTTCTTCTTTTTTTTTCTTTTGTTTTACTTTTTTTCTTAAATTATCAGTTTTTGATTGTAAATTTTACTTCATTTTTTGTTTCAATAAATAATAACAAATGTTAAGCGATAGCAATATTGATTTTCTTCTTTTTTTATTTTTTTCAGCTATCATTTATTTCACCTACAGTCAGTTGAACAAAATACATTTTAATAATAAAAAAAATGATGGCAAAAAAATAATAATATTGATAATTGAAATTAAAAATGAAACATACAAGCCGTTTATAAAACATGTGCGAATGAAAAGAAAAACGAAGTAAAAATTTCATTGTATAAAACTTTATTGAATATTTAAGCAAATGAAAGAATTATTATTGCTAATTGTTAGGAATATGTTAACATTTACGAATTAAGTAACAAAGTTTTTATAACATTTTTTAAATAATATTATTGGTATATAATTTATTTAAATTACATTTTCTTAATTTCATAAATCTTTAAATTTCCAACAATAACAGCTAAGCTTATTAGCGATAACGATACTGATAGGAACCAAGAAATTTTAGCATACATAAAAGCAAATCCTATTTGATTTATTTTTTCAGTCACTAAAACAAGAGGCAGAGAGAAAGAGAGAGAGAGAGAGGGAGAAAGGAAAAGAAAGGGGAAAAGAGGAAATGGAATGAAAAATGATCGGACAGGAGAAGCTGAAGATTCTTTCACTTTTTTAGGAAATGCTTCACCGTATTTGTTTGCTTTTTTTTTTATTAATTCTTTAACAAATAATGCCTCGAATAATACGGCAGAAAATAGCTCTGTTTTTCTTTGAACAAAAAAAGACTTAAATAGAAATAGTGTAATGATAATATTTATTCAAAAATTTATTATTTTTCTAAAATTTCAGATTATTTCCAAATTATTATTTAACAAGTTGTTAATTATTTTTATCCCTATTATTTTATTTTATAATAATATAAGCATTATTTGAAAGTGATTCTTGGAGTATGTTACTTCCGGAGAAAAAGAATGAACTTAATATTATTAAGATTTTAAGTGAGTAATCTAATAAATATGCTGTGAAAATTTATTTTAAATAACAAGATTTGTCACATTTTTGCAATTTATTTTGATAACATTTGTAAATTGGTTCAGATTGCTGTAATGGAATTATTTCCAGCGAAAAAAAATGATTTAGTATTTTTGCTGAGATATTAATAGCAAAATTAAAATTTGTTGTACAAAATTTGGATAAACTTTGAAAAAAAAAAATTCTGATTTCGAAAAAGCCAAAATTGCTCGTTTTCAAAGGCAATAATGATTCGTAGAAAATTATTGCAAAATCTCTAAGGATATGTGTAAGGCAAAAAAAATTTCTTTCGATTGACCAAATAAATTTCCAATCATTAAAAGAATGATTAAATTAAAATGAATTAATTAAATTTCATCTGCAAATGTATGAGAATCATTGGGGATTATAATCATTATTTTTATTTTTGCAGAAGTCTTTAACTTCTTTACTTTGTAAACTTGAAAACACTTAAAAATTATAATTAAAAGTGAGAAGAAAGAGATAAAAATGAATTCAAATACTTTCTTTGTTTATTATGTCTGATGAAAGGTTCAATAAAAATTAGCAAGAAAGACGAAAAATTATAAAACGACAAATATTTGTGTCTTTTTAATTAATTAATAACAAATTCACCCCAAATGAGTTTTTCAAATGTGTAAAAGATATAAAAAGTGTAAAAGGCGTTAAAAAAATATGTGAAAATGCGGTAACAATTACAAATGATTGGAAGAAATAATAGTATATAATTTGAAAATTTAGAAAATCAAAATTCAAATCGTTTTTTTAAAGCAATGAATTGCTAAAAGCAAAATAAGAAATTAAAATTAGAAAAAAATACGTGATTTTTTATTATCATCATCATTTATGCATTATCATTGCTGATAAATTATGATTTCATTAATGATGGATGAATTTAATGGTCATTCAATTGTGTTGGCTTGTTTATTGAATAAATTAATTTGTTGATATACAATTTGAATACATATCTACTGAAGTATTTTTCTGATGATATCAATCAAATTATGAAAACAGAAATCAGGAAATGATTGATGATTGGAAATGGAAAAATAATGGAAACATAAAAATAGTCATAAAAGCTAAAAAGCATTTTATTGAATATTATTTCATATAAAAATGAAGATGAAAATTAAGTATTCAATTCTTATTGCCATATAAAAGAGTCCTTTTTTTAGCAGAAAAAATTAAAATTTTTTTTTGATTTTTAATTTTGTTAGAGAAGTATGAAAGTTTCGTTTTTAGCTAAAATCTGCAAAAAAACAAAAAAGAGTAATGTCTAATTGACAAAATTGTTTCACATTTAAGGTATTGAATGTTGACAGAGCACTTCACGGCAGTTTGATTTTGCTTTTCCTGCAAAGTTTGAAATCTTGTAATTAAAACAATCAGATAGAATAGAAATAATCAAAAAATATTAATTATTTTTGATGTAAACAAAATTTTCTATTGCAATTAACAAATAATTATTGTGCAAAAAGCATTTATTGTATACATTAATATATAGCATCAAATTATTTGATTATTTCAATGCTTAATGAATGTATGAAATGCAAAAAGACTACATTTATAAATCATTGTTTTGCGAAAATACTTATTGAATCATCAATTAATCATTAAATTATTTGATTACTCAGCAATTTTATACATTTTTTTTTGAATTTGTAATTTGATTAATATTATTATTCTCATCTTTGTCTTTGTATTTATAAACTTCTTTTGATTGATTATAATTATCCAAAATTTCAGGTTGCTACACATAATTTGTAAATAAGCTCCGACGAATAACAGAAAGCAGAGTTATAAAGATGGCGGTATGTGATCAAGAAATTCTTAATATGATAGATATTTTCTACTTAATTTACTTGGGAGAATTTCAGAGCTTAACTGTACTAATTACTGTACCGACCGTAATATTTTCTTTTCTAGCCTATCTAAAATCTCCGTGACAAATGTCATGCTACTACTATTCGGTATCATTTTGTACATCATTGAAGGTCAAGCAGCGAATTTAAGAAGAAATTTCATTTCCTGTCTTTTTTTCCGTTGGAAAAAAGGACTAATTTGCTGCAATCTTCAAATTGTCACATTACCTATAGATAGTCATCAATTAGCAAACCCAAAAATGGTTGATAAAATTGAACAAATTGAAATGATAGTGTTCGCATGTGTTTTTTTAAATCAAAAAATACCAAAAGTTCTGATATTTCCGAGATGTCTTTCTATGATGACATTCTTTACGCCAAATTTTATTTATAAGAAATCGTTCCCTTTGTTAGAAAATATGTTGAAATCTTTTTGGTTAGAAAGAGAATAGTGCGATTATTTTTTATATTAATTTCATAACATTTACTCAGAAACTGGTTTTACATCGAAATTTTTTTGGCAAACTTTTTTAAAAAGATTCTTGTATTGAATCGGGTTTAAATTTTACTTGCTTTGAACTTCTATCTGGGAAAATAATTTGAAATGACTACGGCGAAACTTCCTCTTTTTATTGAGAAAAACAAAAATTGAGCTGAAATGTGATAATGCTGGAATAAATGATTCATCGGCTCTTGAATTTAAAGTGCTTAAATTTTTGATAATTCCAATAAATGTATTTAAAATTGGTGAAATTGCTGAACTTTTTTATGCTTAGTTAAATGAAATTGCAGTAACATTGCTGGTAAATAGACATTAGCATTTGATTCGTCCAATTTTTTTTTTGAAATTTTGATAATAATTAAATTTAAGAGTGAAACAAATGACGACAAAAGTTGTGTGCTTTCCAAGGATTTCTCAGAAATGAGCAAAGTGATAGATAATGACCCGAAATTAGCATATGAACAGCTGAAGGAGGTATGTGTTTCTGTTTCTATTGTGTATTATGAATCTGTATGGAAATCGTTCAACTGTTCTTTTTCTTTTTGCTTACAGATTTATGATAGCAATGAAGAAATGAAAAGTAGCGTTGATCTGTTGTGGCGGTTAGGCAAAGCATGTTTCCTGTGGGCTAATACTTTGCAAAAAAAGGATTCGAGAAAGAAATTGCTCATTTTCGAAGGTTTGTTATATTTTGATTGAAATTTTTTGTGTGATTTCTTTAGTTGAGAAGCTCTCTTTTCTTCATAATCAGCAGGAAGGACAAAATGCTTCAATCAGTTTCATTTTATGTCCAATTAGTGTTGCATGCGATTGTTTTAAATTTTATAGTGATTGACTTGCAACATTCGTGTGAATAATGCTTATAAAACTTTTATTGTTTTTTGCACATTCAATTCCATTATCCCAATTTTATCATCAGTAAAACGATGATCAAAATTATTTTTTATTGGGCATTAATCTTCTTCAAAATTTTTAATTTTTATTATTTACAAATTATTCACATTAAAAATATTATCAGAACAGTATGATGTGGTATAGATCAAGCTTGAAAAATGAGATGAAAATGAAGTTTAACTTCTTTATTCAGCACTTGTTTTCAATGTTTGCCATTTCCGATTACTTAAGTCCTTTTATATGTAACAAAATAATGATAAAATTTTGCTCACTCTTTACAGGTCGAATGTATGCCACGTCAGCGTATGCAAATGATGAGAATAATGCTGAAGCACTCAGATGGGCGGCAATTTTGATCGGTTCAGCAATTGATTTTTTGGGGACTAAAGAAAAAATTGAGCAGGGCAAGATTTTCAAGGTTTCAGTTTACTTAATGTTGCTTAATTTGAATTAAAACTTTTTAAATTTCTAAACTAATTGTCGTGCCTAATATTACTGAAACTGACATATCACATTGAAATATATATAAAGAAAAGAAATTTTAATTGCATATCTTTCATATTGTGCCGCATATGTTTTAAATACGCCAGATTGAGTAATTATTTTTTGTGCGAAATCATTTTGAACTTATTACTTCTTCGTTTTCCTCATTCTATACTTATTACTTCTTCATTTTCCTCATCTTAGACTTATTATTTCATCATTTTCCTCATTTTGAATTTAATATTTCTTCATTTTTCTTATTTTGAACTTAATATTTCTTCATTTTTCCTCATTTTTAACTTATTATTTTTTCAACCTTACGGGGATATGAAGAAGGATGTGATAGAAAATTTGCATTTTGTGATTGTTATTGTTGTATATTTGTTCAGTCACATTTGGATCGCGCAATAGAAATGCAGCCGACAGAATATTCATTACTACATTCACGAGGACGTTTTTCATACGAGGTCGCCAATCTTTCATGGATCGAAAGGCGATTATGCAGTGCATTGTTTTCCGAAGTTCCAAACAACACTGTCGACCAAGCTCTTAGTGATTTTTTGGAGGTTCGCTAAAACATTTTATACATTTAACCATTGAATATTTAAAATTTAAATTTATACGCTATACGTATTTGATAGTTATTCCCATTAAGTTTCATATTTGCTCATCTCTAACATTCGAAGAGATATTTCTCGAATTATTTCACCAAATACTTCAGGCTGAAAAATATGCTCCATTTGTATGGCCTGAGAATTTGCTCTACATAGCACGTTGTTATGCTGTATTGAAAAACAAGGAACTTGCAAAAAAATATTTGGAAAAAGTGGAAATAATTGAACAATTGGATGAAGCTGAAGCAGAAGCATTAATTGAAGTTAAAGCTGTTGTTTCTAAATTGAAATAATCATCCTATATGCAGTTTATATAATCGATGTTTAATTTTTAATTTCTCTCATAATTACTAGTTAATTTATATCGTTGCTAAGAAAAACTTATAACCATTGGTACTGGTAATGATGAGGTTATGCTTGGAGGTTTTTTTAATGGCTTTACAAGGTATATATTTGTTGGAAGGTTTACGTCCTTTATTATCGTTTACTGCAATTCACTTTCTTCTTTCAAATGTATTTAACGTGGAACTTAAAACTCTGAAATACGTGTTTATTTATTTAGAGCAGTGCTGTTTTAGTTTTCAATATTATCATCCATTTTAATTCCTCTTAATTTATTCATACTTTGTAATCAGCGGGGCTCAGTTTTTTATGTTCATAACATTTCATTTTGTATATTCTTTATTCTCTTTCCTCCTTCCTCTCACTTTCCATTATTTTTTCTTTCACGGTTTATCCGAATGATTTTTATCTTATTTTTGCCCTTTAACTTTGCATTTTTGTTTTTTATTCAAGACGGATAAAAACAATAAAGGGTACTGAGAAATGAGAAATATAATTAACTGGAGAGTTAATTGAGTTATCATCTGTATGATTTCTCAATGCTTCAATCAATTAGCGATTAAGCAATATTCGTTTGCCATATTTTTGCATATTTTCTCTTCAAAATCTGAAAATAATAATTTTACATTAAACTAATATTGGGTTTAATCAGAGCATTTCATCAAATCCGAGTGAAATCTGGATTAAATTTTACTGCGCATTCTGTTGGTGATAACATATCGGGTATTGTCTTCTATTTCGGTTCTTTCAATATGAAATGTGATTTGTTTTCGTATTTACGATCGTATATTGCAGTTATTGGTCATATTGATACTTCATTTTTTTTCTCTAAGTACTGTAAATAAAGTATCACTTATACATTGCATTTTGCATACAACAAATAAATAATACAAGTTGTAAGGAAAAAAGATATTCATTTGTCAGAATAGTGAAAGATCACAACATTTACTGATTTGATGAAGAGAAAAATGAAGTGGAAAGTGCAAATAACTGTGAAACAAATTAGAGAAAGAAAAATAAAGGCTCATGTCATAACGATGACATAAGATCGGCAGAATAAAGGAGAAAATGACATAGTTCAAACATTCATACACATCAACAGTAAGTAGCGATCGTTGTTAGGAGAGTGACGGCATTGCGGAAGGAATTATTAATCAATTTGTTGTACTTTAATCGAGACTGTAATAACAGTATCACAATAGTAGAATTAAAAGATACTACTTAATCAGCAACAGGTCAACCTAATTGAATTGGCAAAGTTCAACAATTGGAATCAACTAAACTACAAGCATATGAAACATTACATTTCCTGAATATTTTTGTGTTATGCTTTTAAAAAAATATTTCCATTTTCAATGAAACTTTTCATTATCCCCAGAAATATTTCGTTTGTAAATATTAGCTGTTTAAGCGTTATTTGCAAAGATTAAAGATCCATTTTTAGAATTGATAATAAAAAATTATAGGAAAAGATGTACACATTATTGAAATAAATAATTCTAATAATCCTGATTATTGCATTTGTTCAATAATTTAGTGTAGTAACAGATTTTTATGCAATTTAAAAGATGAATGCCACTTTAGAATTACTTGATTATATGTATATTTGTACAGGTAAAACATGTGTATTTGTATATCTGTACAGGTAAAACAGTTGTTGGATGAAAAAAGTGGATGTAAGATATATTAACAATAAATGCTACTGTATCATACCTACCATAAGTAATGAAAAGCATTCATAGTAATATATCACTATGTTAAACTACAATCTGTAGAAATTCACAACATATTTTCATTTAACCTATCAATTGTTTAATGATTATTAGAAAAACATCGTAATTCTCTCAAATAATTTTTTTTTAATTTTCAATATGTTTTTATTTTCAATATGTTTTTATTTTCAATAGATTTCATAAAGAATGTTCGAGGTGGAACGTTTTTACAAATGAATGAGAATTTACAATCATATGCGGTTGGTAAACTCTCAAATGAATCAGTGCATCGTTTAACCATAAAGAATTGTCATTGAACACCGACTTTTGTAAAAAAAATTTGAAAGATGCAACAACTGTTGCTCAATAAATTTTTTCAGAATTTTTTTGCTTATCAGTGAACGACTTCGCATGAAAACAAAAAATTTAACATCATTTCAATATCATTAGCAACATTTTTTTGGAATATTTGGAAAACTTTTTACAATATTTCAGACTTTACATTTATTATTCGCAGATGGAAATTTTTTTTTTGGTATTATTAATTCATAAAGTTAGCTTTGTCTAAATGTAAAATATTCAGATGGGAGTAATTTTAATTTAGATTAAAAATAATTGCAATAACTTGTTACAGTTGCATCTGAATAACGTGAAAGTGATATCCAAACAGATCTCAATCATTTTAATGTAAATAGCTCATTCATAATAATACACTTAAAATTTGAGTCAGTTACTAACTGATTACTGATAAATTTCACTTTACTGAGTACATTATTTAATTTCATTTTATATTTGATAATATAATAAACTTTTTTTGATTCAGCAATTCTTATTATTCGAGATAATTTGAAGATTTTGTGTGGGCAGTGATCGATCTTTTTCATTTGCCATTGTTTCGATCTATTTGAAGTGATACTGATAAATTCATCAAATGAAGAGAATGAAAAATGAGTTGTTTAAAAGTTCGTGACACAATTGACAATGTATTTATCACCTTCAAAGCTGAAGATCCGTTTCATTTCGTTCAATTAATAGCAGTATAGAGTTCAACTCTTTCATCTTCTTTTTTTTGTTTTCTAAAAATGCAGAATTTTTTTTTTATTTTGATAGTTTTTTTAAAAAATATATATTTTAAGACTTTATAAACGTAAAACAAAAAGTTCTTGACACTTGAAAATGTATTTAACAATACATTGAAATATGAATACAATAATATCTATGTCAACTGTGATTTTAGAAAGATTAATTAGCATATCAATATCTTGAATTTAATTCCTTGATATAATTTCATTTATATATTGTATGTGATAACAAAGTCTGTTAGATCTGATAAACTTTTTTTTAATATAGAATTAATTATTTCCTGATTGTTTAGGAATAAAATCAAAAAGTTATAAAGTTTTAAAATCCCTGAAATCATTGAAATTCACGGTTTACAAGTATAAGTAATACTAAAAATAAACGAATTTAATAATATGATATTTTAGATAAGTTACAAATAGAAAATGGAATTGTTTTTGGAAAGCAATAAAAATTGTTCGTTTGCAACATCCCATATTTTGAATTAATTGAGATGATCGAAGAATACATGAACCTATGAAATGAAGAATTGTGCATCTATCCGATAACAAGAAGAGAATTGAAAAAATCAACAAAAAAGAAAAAAAGCTCAATAACTTCGCTGAGTTATCAGATGAAAAAAGAAGAGAAATATAATTATGATAAGCTATTAAATGATGAAAAGAATGACGGATAGCGCCAGCAGCTAACTGCTTCAGCAAGTTTGTGATTTTTTTAAACAAATGTTAAAATTTCACTACTTTTCAATGCATTCCTAAAAATAACATTTATTCACAGTCGGAGAATGTGAAAAAAAGGCATGCATAAGTTTCTCAAAAAATCAAACAACTCATCATTGTTAAAACATTCTCCAACGTAACGTTACCTTCGTTTAATATTGCAGATTATTAACTTTCCTGCATTCGGTTAGAAATTTCTGGTTACTTGGGAGAGAGAGGTTGAGAAAGAAAAAGAGAATATGACTGATAACATTAGACACGTGATATGACTAATAGGAACGTTTTCAAATAAGTTTGAAAGAAAAAAATTAAATCTGATATGATATGGTATATGAATTTAATTTGTTGACAGTTATTCAGTATTCACAAATGACAAAAATTTATGAATGAATTGAAATAATAATTTCTGATGTCCTTGTTCTATTTTACATAAGGAAATAAAATCACAATTTAGATGATATTTATTTACTTGTTATTATAAAAAATTTTCATCACATTATTATGGTTTTCTTGCAGTTTGCGACATTTTTAATCCCAGACTAAAGTCCAATAATTATTGTTATTTTGGATAAAATTTTAAATTTGTCACAACTCATAAATTTTTGTATCATTTTCATGTCATTCTATTATAACATTCGCATCTGATGCACCTAGCAGAACTAAATCAGAAGCGCTTTTGTTAATTTTGACAGATTTAAATTTAAGTTTCTCTTCAATTTTAAGCAAAGTAAGACATCAGCTAAATGATTTGTTAATAATTTACGTGACGAATTCTGATGTTCCAGTTCTAGTTCATTTGAAATAATTATTTAACAAGATTTAATTGTTGATGGGTATGAAACTTATGAGATATCTAACCAATATATTACTCACTGAAACTTTCAAAAATAAGTAATTACATGCAGCATAGCATGATTTTCTTTAGATATAAATAGTATCTTTAGATATAAATAGCACTTTTCGACAGTCATTTTACTCATTCATTTTTTCATTTCTATTGTTATATGGAGAGAGAGAGAGAGAGAGAGAGAGAGA